AACCTCTACCCTCACCTATTACATTGTCAGGGAACGAACGGAAAGGAACTTAGTCCTCACTTGGTGGAAAGCGAGGGCAAGGGAAGGGCTGTCGGTCCCTTGTGTCACCAAGAAGGAAAGGATACGGGACTATCCAGAGCATTTGCGAAAGCAAGAAGGAGTGCTGATTTTGGACGAGGTCAGTTTGACTCAACCATCCTCCCGGAATGCATGACTGAGGCGATCGCATGGTTTGCCTGTGTGAAAGGGAGGGGAACTCATAAGGGGAATTGAAAGGCAAAAGCAACTTAGGATTGCAGGAAGGGGCGAGGTGTTGACCCCAACGGGGATTGTACTTGGTCATTTGTCTTGTATGGTCTTGCGCAGGTGAGTAGCTAGGGACGATTTGGACGGGGCTTGACCCGCGGAAGAGGACTAGGGTGGGAGATTGGCTAAGGAAGGACTTGGATCCGGCTTAAGCCATGGATGCGGGATGAGTTGAGGCCGGGCGCTTGGGTGGATGGTTGATGCACAGACTTTGCTTGTGTGGAGGTTGCATGGGATGTCTCACTCTTGTGCAATGCGACCCCTGAAAAGACTAAGGGCGGTCTTGGATAGGTGATGCGATGCTAGGGGCTCTCGCAAAAAAATATAGCGGCTAGGGGTCCGGGCGACGCCGACTTACCCCAAGGATGCCGCCGGGGCTGCCCAGAGCTGCTAGGCTTAGTGAAAAGGTGCGTGGCCCAATGGATGACGCTTGGCCTGCGTACGATAAGAAGATGAGACTTCAATGAACTCCCTGGACTGCTTGTGTATTGGAAGGAGCAATTGTCTGGTCAGACTTAACCGAATCGAGAAAACGCCACGAGTGCCCAAAGAGCTACCATCTTAACGCGAGAGCGGAGCTACATCCCCCAATGTAAAGCCCTCTCGCAAAAAGGTCCATCCCCATTCATTTCATAGCACTAGGTGGGGTTGCCCCTGGGACGAACGACCCGCGCCCTGGGCGTGAGCGTGGGCGGGTCGAGCCAAATGGGACCCGCAGTGGGGTCGACCGAGGCTCGAAAGTCCTACAGGGTACGACCCCTACAACGTGTAGGCTGCGCAGATCAGATCGCGCTTACACGCATCCCCGCGAGGTATTCGCTTGTTTCTGGACAATCAACTACCTAATCATCTAATCACTTTGTGATGCCCGCCCTCCTTAACGACCACAAACGTTGAAAGTTGAATTGACGTTGAAGGCCTCGAGGGCATAAAACACACCCCTGTGGGGCTGCGAACATTTCCACGACCTGTCCAGCCTCCAGGGCAAGCGCCCTTTCGACCTAGGCCCTTACCATTTCCATTTCGATTGGGCCCAGTTGGGGGGCGCAACCAAAAAATGCCCTGACGTTGAACGAGCGTTGAACGAGTGTTGAAAGGTTCCAGGACCATAAAATTGACTTACTGTGAGGGCATGGGTGCGCAGCCCTTTGTTTGTTGATGTGGTTGGGGAAGGGTAAGCTAATGATTATATTGTGTGTATGTTTTATCATGTTCGCTATACACAATTCTAAGAATGTGTGTGGGGGCGGTCCCAGCTGGCGCTTTGTCCATGATGTTTATGGGATGCTGGACCCAGTTTCCAGCAGGTGCCTCTCCTCATTAATAGACAGGAGGATGTGTGTGCACATGTGTGTGTGTG